GAGAGAGAGAGAGAGAGAGAGAGAGAGAGAGAGAGAGAGAGAGAGAGAGAGAGAGATCATCGATCGGTTGTCTCCGCCATGAAGGAATTCTCTGTCATATTTGTTTTTGCGAGGGAAGCTGCAACCGGTCATCTAGTTGCATACAAATTACCCTGTTCCGGATTTGTCATATGGCAGCTTGATGTCCATACAGTGGTGCTTCACAGTCAATGTCTCGTCGTTGTGCTGTTTGGCAGCAAAGCTGATGTGGAAGCAGATGTATAACTAAAGTCGGCCAAATTTGACCGCTTCGCGTATTGTGGTTGTGCTTTCGCAGGTATATTGAGTTTTACGATGTGGCATCTGTGTCCATGGCGATAGCACTCTCAGGGCAGATACTTTGTGGGACCCAAGTGATGGTAAAGCTATCTGAAGCGGAGAAGAATCTTGTGCCTTCAACTACTGCTGCAGCAGGTGGTGCGACTGGCCTTATTGGTCCATACTCGGGCGGAGCAAGGCGTTTGTATGTAGGAAACCTCCACTTCAATATGACTGAAGACCAACTGCGAACGGTGAGTTGCTGTCTTCTGGGGTAAGCGACAAAATGTGAAATAGGAACGCACTCTCATTGAAGAGAATGTGGAATGGTTTTCGCTAATTTACAAGTGAATTTCTGTGAGGTAAAAACACACCTATACATGTCAGCCGTCTATTTGCAATGCAAATCTTCAATGCTATACTGCTGGTGGAATATTAGGGGCTTTTGCTCCATGCCTGCTGTGGAAGGTAGAAATAGAAGCTGTCTTATTGACGAGGATGAGAATGGTTTCGCCGATACACACCTGAGAGTTGATACACAACTGAGAGTGAATTTCTGTGCGGAAAAACACACCTATACATGCCACCTGTCTCTTTGCATTGCTAATCGTCAATGCTGTTCCTCTTTGCCTGCCTACACTGTTGGTGGAATATTAGGGGCCTTTGCTCCATGCCTGCTGTAGTTTGTTGCCGTCTATTGTTCATGTTAGCTGTGTGGCTTTGTGCTGTTAACTCGAGGTTTTATGTATTCGGTTGCCTTTTAGTGTGTGGGTTACCTGAAGCCTGAGAATCAGGTTTGCCCATGGCATTCATGAAAGTTTAAACAAGGAGCCTGCATGCATTTCTGTGAATGCGAACCTCGTGAGCATGGTTTTTGATTCGGGGGATGTGATAGCCAGAAACTGACAGTGTGCGGCACGCCTGGGTGATATCTATGTATGTGACGGTGTTTTGTTTGCATTGTTCCTCCTTTACCAGTGTTCTGTGAAACCGGGCACCAAAGCTTATTCTGTGATTGGGATTGGGTGATCTTCGAGGGTTTTGTACATGTGCTTGTCCTCGTGTTTCCACTGGCAAGGGATTGGCCAGTGTTGAGTGCAATGAGTTGTTGGGTTCATGTTTCGGGCATCATATGGATGGTTTTCTCTTGGAGTTCATACTACGATTTCTTTTGCACTGAAAAATGGCTGTTTATAATGTTTTGCCGTCGATCTTTATGCTTTCATGTTGTAAAATGTGGTGCAGTTGTTTGAGCCGTTTGGCCCAGTGGAACTGGTGCAGTTGCCTCAGGATCCAGAGACGGGTCAATGCAAAGGGTTTGGATTTGTTCAGGTAAACTCTGACATTTGTCCCTCTTTATGGACATGCGCTATTCTCTTTTGGCTGTCAATCACTTTGCACTTGTCAACAGGCTGATGTATTGAAAGTGCAAATGCAGTGCTGAAATGCTGTGCACCTGGGACGAGCACCCCGTGCAGATCACCCTGCCTGTCCAGCTATGATTCCAGCAATGTGTTTTTTTTCTTTTTTTTCTTTTTTTTTGGTGAAAACAACGGGGGTTGTTTTGACTGTTTTCTTTTTCCATGCCGTCTTTGAAGTTGTTCGGCGTTGACGGTCCTGAGAATGGCTGACAAACTACGGCTATGTCTTCCAGTAAATTTGTGCCTAGCCACCTGATGGATGCTAGAAATTGACCTGCAGGGCTCTATATATTATGGAGGTGCACTGTCTGTGTTTCGACCCTGCTCCAGTGATGACCATTTTAGAGGCGGAGGCCACAAGCACTTACCACTGGCAATGAATGGTTGTTGCTGTGCTCTTGCAGTATGCGAAATTGGAAGATGCACGGACAGCACAACAAATGATGAACGGCATGGATTTGGGAGGCAGGCCCATAAAGGTAACTATGGTTCTGAAGTGTCAAATTTTATGTATGGGAATAGACTGATTCCTTGCCCCTCTAGGATGTGGAATGGGTAGTCCGGTTTATGGGTGTTATGAATGAAGGTAATTCTGAGTTGACGTATAAATAAGCAGGGCATGCAAGTGATAATTTTGATGTACGGCAACTGACTGATTCCCCTTGCCAATCAATATATGGAATGGTTTGGCCTTTTATGAAATGGTATAAACATATTAAACAATGGTAGTGCCGAGTTTAATTGGGCACTAGAAACGAGCAGGGCATGCAAGCGGGCAGACGGTTGTTTTGTTCATTCTGCAGGTCACACTCTCGAAGAGAGTCCTCAATCTTTGACTATGTTGTGAGTGTGTGTTTTGGCTGGTGTTATGGGATTGCAATTGAAAGCCTTCCTCCAGATAAAGTGGATGGTCTGGCCGTGTCAGGGAATGCTGGAAGTGGTCCTGGGTGCTATAGTTACTCGGGCTCTTTTCTCCAAGTTGAAACTGTGCGCTTTGTTTCTGAAATGCTTGTGTTGGCTTTGATTTTACTGGTCCTTCCTGGAAAGCTTGAGCCTTTTTGTGCTTTATGGCCTCTGCTAAGGTGGCCTCTGCCTTCCGTACGGTCATTTGTCAAAAAAGGTGGTTGTAAAGGTTGGAATTGAGCGCTCTGTCCAACTATTTTGTTTCGTTCTTTCTGTCCGGCAAAGGCCTTTAATCTGCAACTTTGTCGAGTAGTCTGTCTTTTTTCAGTTGCACAAATTACGTTATTGTCCACGGCACCCATGTTACTCGAGGAGGCACCCTCTTCATCTTTGTTCTGTGCTTGCAACCACAAATCATGCACTTTGCTTGCTTTTGAAAGTTAATTTCATGGCTGAGAACTCTTTTCTGTGTAAATGTGTATGCATGTTGTAGGCTGGATTCATTTGGTGCTGTCTGATCAATTGTTGTGTGCTGGGTATGGTGGATGGTGTTGTACAGGTGTCTGCAGTTTCGGAGAACGTTGGCCTACAAGAGATGGGAAGCAGTTTGGGTGAGATTGATGATGATGAAGGTGGTGGCCTGGTAAGCCTCTGTTGCCTTTGTGTGCCTTTCCGAGCATGCCGCTGGGTGTCCATGATGGATGTTGCTTTGCGATCTCTTCTTCCAATTCGAGTGTGTGATTGGGTATTTGCTTGATGTGGAACTCTGGGAGGTGATCATGGCAAGATGTAGATGCACTTCGTTGTTGTCGTTCTGAGAAGAGGATTACGTGTGAGGTTGTCGATGGCATGGTCGGTTTGTTGACATGCCTGAAGATCTTTCATGTTAGGCTGCTGCCGACAAAAACAAAAGCTGCATGCTAGGTTGTTTATTGGATTCACTTCTGTCAGTTTGTGGTTTCTTTGCTGAACAAGCTGCTTTTGTTTGTTCGTTTGTTGCTCTGGATGGTGACAGTCTCTGAATGCGCGGTCAAGGGCACTTCTGATGCAAAAGCTGGACAGAAGTGGGTCCTCACTTCCTGGCAGGTGTGTGAACCTCGTTGTTGCAAGGAGGATCTAGTCGCCAGTTTGTCCGGAGTGAACTCTTTTGGAACACATAAATTGAACGTGAGAAGAAAAATTGTGAATTTGGTTGGAATGGTGTAAAAATTGTTTGTGTTTGTATTCGGTCTATCACAAATCCCCCACTTTGTCCACATTTCAGGAGATCCAATTTCAGTGAAGCATTGTGCGTCGTTTGCTGGTAACGGTCACCACGGTTTGATGGTTGGTCAGTGAGCTGGTCTGTCGGGTCATCGAGTACAGATGATAAGCTTCTCTGCGTCCGTGCTGTGATTGTGTGGGCGAAGGATTGGATGTACGTACCGTCATAGTCTGTAGATTTTACACATTGTGCTAAAACCGTGCATGTTGATGAATTTGTTACGTACTCAGGGGAAACACGTTTTTGCCACATGCTCTCACTGTGTGACACACATAGGCAGGCAGGAGCGGATCCATGTTGCAGGTGTGAACACGTGTGCAATTGTTTTTGTGCCCAGTGATGTTCACTTGTTTATGGTTTGAAGAACTTTGATCAATGAGCACTCTCTGTGAGGAGTTGTGTATTTTAGCATCAATGCTAATCCTATGTTATCTTGATGCCGTGCATGTCACGGTTTTGCTTGGATTCATGTTTTACATCGCAATTTGACTGCAAGAATCTCGTAGGTGCATAATGGTCTGTGTGCAATGGTTTCAACAGCCAAACTGGGTGTTGTGGCATTAGGCCTAAATAAATCCTGGGTATCTCTGGATCTGGTGGTTCTTAAACCACCAGTATCTCCGGACATGTTCTGAGGTAATTTCTTTTCACACGTGCTGTGGAGTTGTGTATAGCGGGTATGACAACGGACAACTATGAGTTAAAGTCCGATGAAATAATCTGTCACAGCCATGCCTTCATTTTGCGGAGTTGTCTATTACATGACAACGCACACTCACACATATAATGAACAAGAGAGAGAGAGAGAGAGAGAGAGAGAGAGAGAGAGAGAGGCTCTAGGTGTACCTCTATGCAGATATTTGTATGCATGATTTTAGTGTTTTGTCTGTCTGAACTTGCTGGCAAATTTGTTGTTCAAACGCAGTTCCCCTTGTGCTGTTGGGTAGTTCGCCTTGTCTGATCTGCCGGTCTGCTTTGGCATGCCACATCTACGTTGGATTGGGTTCTTCACAAAATCGTCAGTGCTCCTACTGCCACTATTGGGCCACCTGGTTCGGGGATATTAGGAGCGGGAGTTCCGGGTGCGAACGCTCCCATAACTGCTGCCATTCCAACGCCAACACCGTTTCCCATTGCACCAGCTCCATTTGCGGGACTGCAGCTGCCTGTTGGTCTTGGGCCAACTGTCGAACCAGTTGGACTTCCAAGCGAGTATCTGCTGCTGAAGAATATGTTTGAGCCCAAGAATGAGGTCAGTTTGTCAGATATATTTTTCTTTTGCTCTATGCGTGTTGGTGGTGGTGGTGTCAAATATGTCTTTGTCCTTCTGCTCTCCTGTGTTATGCAAAGATCATGCTGGTACATGCGATTGCTAGCCACGAACAGCTAAGCATGCATCACTATCTCAAATTCCGGGTTCCTCTTTTCACCTTTTTGCGTGATCTCAACATGAAGTCCTTTGCAGGCAGTGACTATCCGACTGAGGGGAATGAATCATTTATGTGACACGTATTTACCTAGGCTTGTTATTATCTAGCAATCGAGGCTTGGAACTCCCAATGTTATTACTGATTTGTAACTATCATCATCGATATCATCCAGGGCATGAGGCCAGGCACCGGATCTGCTTCTGCCTCTGGCTGATGGCCGCCCAGGATCCAGGCAACAGCTGGGTCGCCCTGCGCAAAGAAAGTATTTAAATTATTTTATAATAGATCGGAATACCTTGGCTAAGGGTCACATCAGAATTCCTTAACTAAAATTATATAATGAAACCAAGGCAACCCCCTTTAAACCTCACAAGGAAAACCAGTGCGGCTACGCCCGCACACATGGACATGTCAATGCGATATCCGAAGTCTAGATAAGTATATATCTACAGATCTCATGATCCATAACTCTCTCTCTCTCTCTTCCACATGTGTTTGGGCCCATAGTTTTCTGATCAACTGCCAATAACTGATGTCTTTCACCTCTCTCTCTCTCTCATTCTCCCCCCCTTCCCTCTCCCCCTCGTGTGTGTTTGGCCCCATAGTTTTCCGATCGACTACCAACAACGGACGTCTTTCATCTCTCTCTCTCTCTCGCGCGGGCGTGGGTGGGTTGAATCTTATTCTTCGAGATGCAAGGGGTTGAATCTTACCTTTTTGTTTTCCTGTCAATGAACCTTTCTTGATGCCAGGGTCTGAATCGTTTTCTGTTTTGAAGGTTTCAGTGAATGGATATCCCATATTCTGTTAGAATGACTGGCTAACTCCCTTGGCTATTCGACTTCGACGTCTGAAGAGCGAAGGAGAGTTCAAACACCCCTCTTGCTCTCTCTCTCTCTGTGCACATTGGAAAGAGAGAGATGCAGTTAGAGAGAAAAAGACGAAAGCAAGAACACCATTGGAGTGAATATTTTCAATGACATCTATGTTGAACTGCAACTGCACAGTTTATTGGAGTGAGATGATAAAAGTCTGATAATGTGTGTAGCATGTCGATGGATTAAGTAATTAATTCTCGATGATGGCCACGAGGAGTGGAGATTTCAACGGATGAAACCGATGGCTGATCGTTGTTCACCGACTTTAATCAAATCCGTTCACCGACTGCAATCAATCCATTCACCATCTTGATGAGTGGAGGAAGGCTCAACTCAGAGGATTGGTTGCGGAATTGATGAGCATTGTTACTCTGATTAAAATCATTCAGCTGCGATCATCAATTCTGCATTTGATTTGGGCACAGAGCTGATGTATTTGTTGTTGGCGTCAACAAGGTTGACACTCACGAAATATGAAAGAGGATGATGCAACTGGTCTGACAACATCCCCACCAGTAGAATGGAGACTGGAAAAACAACAATAACAACAACAACAACAGATATGAGCTCCACACATGAAGAGGCGACAGGAGCATCACACACAGAACAGCGAAAGAAGAAAAGAACTTAAAAAAAGAAAGGTACATGATAGAGAAGAAATTTAGAATAATCTAGGGCGGGACTTTGGGTGAGGACGGGCGCCTCTCCATGAAGAAAAGACAGTGGCCCAAAGAGTACTATCCCACAGGGATCTCTCTTCCCTGTCCCTGTCAATATCTATTCCTCCCTCACTTTCTTGTTCTCTTGCTACTCTCCGCTTTCCATCCATCTCTCTCTCTCTCCCCTCCCCCACCCCACGCCACAAAAAGGGGTGATCCGGCATTGATGACAGTTTAATGTCTCTCTATCCCTCTTGTGATCCGGGCCCCTCATTATTATCATGCTCTTATCTGTTCCTTACAACCGATTCCCTCCCTCCGTGCTGAGGCCCCCATCCTGCCTTGCAATCTCTTCTTTCCCACCTTGTCCAGATACCCCTACACGACTGGCATTCCTTCCCCTACTCGTCATAGGTCGTACATCCTCATGCTGATTGACTAGCATTCTGACCTTCTCCTCTCTAACGCACATCCTGATCGCCCCCTTCCGGATCCCCACTGTCCATTCCCTTCTTGGCAAATTGGGTCCTTGACCTACATCCTCCTCCCATTTACTTTAGGAGCACCCTCGGTGTCTTCCCTGCCCCATGCCTCCTTAAAAGCGGCAAACTGACCTTGCATTCTTCACCCTCTCCCGATTTATCTCCTTCTCATTCCTCTGCCGTCGCATCCCATCCTGACTGACCTAATCCTGACCCTCTCATCCTCCTGATCCCGCATCCTCACCGTCCCTCTTCGTCCTTCACCTGCTACTCCATCCCCTTATGATTTCGATGGTGACCTACTCCGGCCTGTTTGACCAGGCGCATGACCTCCCTCTAGTGTCCGGTCTCCACCTGCCTGTTCGCATTCACGGCATGATCCCCGCATACTTTTGATGGCGGCCGCATACTTACTGATAACTGTACCTCTTGCAACCTAGCACCCCCACAAAAAGTGCAGTTGTCGTCCTAAACGAATGTACGGATGGATGGAGGAAGGAGGGAAGGAGCGAAGGAGGGATGTAGGTTGAGACGGAGGGGGGCAGAGAGAGAGAGAGGGTGAACTCCGCCACGCAGATCGAACCCACCTATTTTATTTTTGTCCGAGAGCAAATGGAACTCTCCACCTCTCCACGAAAAATGTGGCTGGGAGACCGAGGGAGGGAGGGTCCACTACGCCACACCGTCACCTATTTCCATTTTGGGCTGAGTGTGAATGGAACTCTCTACATCTTGAGGCGCAACACTGTGGGCACAGAGAGTGAGAGAGCACTTCCACACACTGTTGTTTTTCTTTTGTTTTTAGTTGCACAGGGGCCATGCCAATCTTCTCTATATCTTTCCAATTTTAACGTATTCTCTCTCTCTCTCTCTCTCTCTCTCTCTTCCCTACCTGCTTTCTTGTTCCCCTTTTGTCCTTCTCCAGTCGCTTCATCCCCCTTTCTGATCTTCCTCCCACCAATTTGCTTTTCCCCATCATCTTCCCTCGTCCTGTGTCTGTTGCTCCCGTCTTCCCGTCTTTCTCCACCGTTTTCTCTCCTCCGTAGGGATCCTTTTTGAGCTCCTACTCCAATACTTGATATGACCCTTCTGGATCTCTTATGTCCTTTCCTGTCTTCCTCTGTCTGCCACTGTTTCTCTCTTCATTTCTGTCCTACAATTGCACATCCACATCTACCCTATCCCTCTCGTGATTCAGGCCCTTTGTCAATATCCTGCTCCCTCCTTTCCTTTCCAGTTCTCCTCCCTCCTCGCTGAGCCCCTTTTCCTCCCTTCCAATCTCTTGTTCTCCACCTTGCCCGGGTCCCCCCACACGGACCTGCATTTTTCTTATCAACAGCTCGGTGCCCTTCCATGCCTAGCTGTTCTTTCTCCTGCACTTCATCAGTTCCCACATCCTCACCCTGATCGGCTGATATTCCGACCTTCTCCTTTACTTGATTCCATAGCCTGATTGGCTCCCTCACAATCCATGCTGCCCATCCCCTTCTTCAAAAATTCTTCTCCTACTTACATCTTCCCCCCATCTACTTTAGGATACTCCTCGATGTTTTCCCCCTCGCCGACCTCTTTGGCGCTGGCAATCTTACCTTGCATGCTGTATCATATTCGTCTTGTGCGCAGATGCCCCATCTTTGTCTTTTTATTCATCCGCATCGCTGGGTGAAAAGACCCAGTATTGAATGGTCGGCCATAAGCATGGTGTGGAGGGGAACAGAGTGATGACATGGCTAGGGTCAACTTTCTCTCTCTCACCGTGTGTGTGTGTGTGTGTGTAGCAGACTTCACTTCGCGCCACCGAGCTGGTTCGTGTGCAGACCCTACGTCGAACGAACCCGCCTATTTTGGTTTTCCTATCTCTCCCCCCCTCTTTCTGTGTGTGTTTTTGTGACAGACTGCACTTTGTGGCACCGAGCTGGTTTGCATGCAGACCCTACGTCACACGAACATGCCTATTTCGGTTTTCCGCTGAGTGTGAATGGGACTCGGCCCCCTCGAGGCGTGCGGGACCATACGTTGCGCGAGGCCCACCATGCACGTCACACGAGGCCCACCATGCACTCACTCTTTCAGCACTGGGCCTTGCTCCGCTGCACAAAATTTCTGAATGCATCTAGGTCTGGTAGTGCTCCCAACACATTCAAGAAGCTTACCATACATTCAAAAGGCTTGATCAGTCCAAAATATGTCGCCCAGGAACATTCCAGGTACGTGTTGAATATAGAGTTGTGGAGCGAGACCCACTGCTGAGAGAGGAATATGTCGACAATGCTGCCCGAAAAAGTTTTTTAGGCTCCCGCATTGACATTTCCTTTTTGGGTGACGGGTGGGATCCGCCTTAGATCTTTTTCTGCATTCTACACTTCCGTTTTTTTGGCTGTTTTTTCAGGCGTTTGAATTTGGCCAATGTGGGTGATTTCTGGGACTCTGCGCGTGTTTCCATTCACATTTTGTGGGGCACCGTAGATAGATGACGGAAAACGTGCTGGTTATCGGACGGCCCGTCTCACAGATGGCAAAAGTCTCTGGTCCCGACTGTAGGGACTTTAATAGAATGTAGTAGATTGATAAAAAATCTATAGAAAATATAGTTAAGCGGGCCGGGATGGTATGCTGCGTGCTGATTTCTTGCTTATCTGTGTTTATTGGCCTTTGGATCTACTTATCGGCTGCCAGGAGTGAGGTGCTTTTCTTATTACCTGTCAACGTTCCTATAATCGTTTTTTGCTCTCCTCTGTTGACGGGCATCTTGACGTCTGAAAATTGGCTTTCCGGGACCATCGGAGGCTGGTAGCCCGGAAGA